CTAGAACAATGAGGTCACTCCAGTGCAATTTGCAGCACAGCTCTTCCCCCTAGTGGCCGGCTTTCAAACACAAGCACCAACAGATTTGGTGGAAAGGCGCTTGAAAAAATACCAGTTTGCTCAGTGGGCCCCCACATCCCACGTTTTTCTTTGAGGGATTGGGCATGTGCAAGTCTGATAGTGCTGCAGGTTCCTGCAAAAAGCTCTCTGGCCAGACTCAGCCGTGTATCAGAAAGAAATGTGTGCACCAGAAGGGTTAACCTTCTTCCAGCAACATTTTGTTTCAACTGTTTGAGGAGTTCCCTTCCTGCTAGAATACAGGTCACTGAGGAGGGCGTTCCACAGGTGGGGAGACACAACCAAAAAGGCCTTCTCCCTGCCTCCGCTGAACCTTACTTAAGAATAAAGCAGTCATACCAGTACGTGCCCATCTGATCCAGCATGGTCAGCACTGATCGGCAGGGGCTCTCTTGGAGTGCTTTCCTATTGTACCGTGTTCGAACCCAGGGCCTTCTGTTTGCAAAGCAGGGGCCATGCCACTGAGCTGCAGCCCCCACCCCACTTCAGCAGCGGTCATGGGACAATGCCCTCCAGCATGCCTGAGGGCAGCAGGGTAGCCTGGAGAGCCTAGGACAGGCCGAGAACAGCCATAGCTTCCTGCAAGCTGCCAGCACCTGCTGCCTCACCTGCTTCTCAGCGCTCAAAGCCTGCCCAGGTTATGCTCACACTTGGAGTTCTGCTTTAAACATTGTTGCTTAGAAGTGAGTTCCACTGAGTTCCATGGGATTTACTCTCTCCTAAGTATTGCATCCATGCAGACACTGCTCTTGAACTGGAGGACCTGTTGGGTCTGGTTTTAACTTTAACTGGTTTTTTAAATCCTCTTCTTATGTTTATTTTTCTAAACACCTGGGATTAAAACAAATACTTCAAGAATAAATAAATACTAGGGTTAACAACTTCTTTATACAGGTCCAGCCCTCTTCCTTTAACAACAGCTGTTTTTCCTGACCAGAAGCTAGAATGACTGGGGGAAAGCTCCAGCCATTTCATTTCTGTTTACCAGACTGTTGTTAAGGCAAAGGATCTGGGCCGTTTAAAGGACTGGCACCATGGGCTACATGGAAAGCCAAGCTGTTTGGCTTATCGATGCCTCGGCCCAGAAGCGGGATCAGCAAAGATCTTCTGCTAAATAAACCTGCTGATGAGCATTTGGTCTGACAGCAGACAGAGCTAGACATCCAAGGACTAGCTTCATCATCTTTATTTTCAGACAGACAAACATAAACGTTACATAGAGAAGCAGTACTTCCTACGCTTGCAGCGGCAAAAATGAGACTGGCAAAGAACAGGGACGATCCTTGGGATATACCAATGGTGTTTGCAGGGCTGGTCTTGAGGGTGAGCCTGGGCCCCTGCCAGAGTGCCACTGATCAAAGCCCCTGGGTGTGCAGCCGGCTCACCTGCCTCACCTTAGCCCAGACCATGTGGGGGCAGAGAAGGGGGATCAGGGGAAACCTGTTCCCTGCCTTGCTGCCCAGCAAACAAGCAAGGGAAGGTCATTGTGGGGGAGGGGAGATGTGAGAGCAGCAGGCGGCTGTGGCAGAGAGGAGGTGGACTCACCAAGGCAGGCGGGAGGCCCACTGCATAGCCAAGGAATCAGCACCGCATGGTTGTACTGGAGGGTCTGGAAAACGGGATTCTCTGCAAAGTAGTAGTAGCAGTAATACTATTATATTGTATTTATATCCTGCCTTTTTCCTTCTTGTAAGGAACCCAAGGTGGCTTGGGTAGAAGTCCTCCTACACTCCATTTGAGCCTCACAACAGCAACCCTGTAAGGTGGGCTTGGCTGAGAGTGAGTGACTGGCCCAAAGTGACCCAGTGAGCGAGCAGATCCTGGATCTCCCAGGTCCCCAGGCCAACACTCTCACACCACTCCATGCTGGTCTCCAAAAGTAGATTGGCCGCTAAGCATGACTTCATAGATGTTATTTCCTCTTCGCTTAACTTGGATTATTGAAGTTTCCATCTGGAACATATCTTCAAGAGCATCTCTCTGGACTGGAGCATCATTTGAGAGCCAAAGGAAAGGCAAGGGCACGGTAGGTTATGCAAGACAGTAAATGTCTATGTGAATCAGTTAAGAAAGGTCCTATACTTAGTATTTCGTGTATTTTCATCATTACAGTTCCCATGCTGAGTTCTGATGGTCCACAAACAATGTTTTTAATGACTTTATTGTTTGTATATAAAATGACAATGGGGAAAAGCATTATGGAATCAAAGAGACGAGCCACATCTGCATAGCAGTAAGATTTCCTAGCATCATAGCTTCCCATTTTCCTTTGCATTGTTAGTAGTCCCTGCATTTGCTTTTCCACATCTGTTTCTTCTCAGGTCCCCTGGTCTAATGAGCACACCCTTTCCCCATGTCTGTCAACTGTCTCTTTCAGAGCTCTGGAACATGAGGCAGATTTGGCAGTTTATCACTTTCAGATGGACCTTTTAAAAAGCCTTTCTAAGCCAATAATACTCCAACAAGGAGGGCCAAGTGTAAAAGAGGACAATGTCTCTGTACATCTAAAAGTTTTGTAGGGAGATTGAGCAGCTGTCCTTTTTCTTCTCTGTCCTATGTGGTAAAAGCAGCTGCAAAAATTTTGTCCAGTCCACAACTAAGTACTGGACCCATGTCTGCCTGATAGGGCGGTCACTTAAAAATCTCCCCACAGTAAAGAAATCTTTGACCAGGAGACCTGTGGATCTTGCTCCATCTGCTGTCCAGTGCTGTTGATAGGCAGCTTCAGGGCCTGCTTCTTCCTTCTGACAGTTCTGTAGACCAGATTTGGACTGGGTGGGCCTTCAAAAAGGACAGTAGTCTTCTGGTGGCCCTCCAAATACAGAACTGTCCTGTGTAAAAGATGAGACATGGCCACCACACCGCCATCTGGTTCTGTGGCTTTAAGAACTGATCCTGGCTCTGGTAGTGAAGAGCTACAGTTTGCACCTGAGCCCAGTTGTCCAGCTGGGAAATTAGATGGCCGTAGTGGACTGAAATTGGCTTTGAACTGAAGGCTTGATCTAATGTTCTTGCAGTCGCCCTGCTTTCTTCTGGACTTTTGCAGGTTGGATTTGTTCACTATGCTGAATCACATTTTTAAAGGACTGCTTTGTTTTTAAAAACACAGGTGTTTCTAAAGGAGGAATTTAATAATTAGCTAGTAAATTAGATCTATAGCTGCTTTGTTTAAACCAAGTTACAAAACTGTGAGTTCCAATGGGAGTTTGATAAAGAGTCTTTGGCTCAGAGATGTTGGTGGGATTACTGGTATTATGTTATGGTTTTGAATGGGCTGGGCTTAGACATCTTTTCTCGTCTTAAAGCAGTTTCTGTCAAAAAAAAAAAAAAGGGATATACAAGCTTGTGGGTTAACAGCCAGATTTAGTTTCAGCTGATCCAAATGGGTAGTAGAATGTATTTTATGCATAGACTGCTAAGGGAGCAATGGAGGACACTTACAGCTTCAAAAGCTTGCATCAGATGCACAATCCATTTGCCACTGGAACATAATAACATGAGCTATGTAGTCAAGCCCAGCATTCTGTTCTCACAGTGGCCAAGGAGGTGCACCTTGGTGGCCCACAAGTGGGACATAAATCCAACGCATGCCCTGTCCCCCATCAACTGGTATATACTGGCATTCTGCCCTTGATACTGGAGGAAGCACATAGCCAGCAAGGCTAGTAGCCATGGATAGAATCCCCCTCCTCCCTGAATCTGCCAATCCCCTTTTAAAGCCATCCAAATGGATGGCCGTTGCTACTTTTTGTGGCAGTACATTCCATGGTTTGACTATGCAGTGGGTTTAATTAAGTGGTACCTAGCCTCTTCCAAAAATGGCGCTCAAGGCAAGATAACAGAACCAATTAAAATCCTTTAAAACAATAAAGCAATACATTCCATCCAATAAAAATACAAATGCAGAAAATATATAAAAACAGCATCCATCCCAAAAAAGAGCCAAAGGTTTTGTTGAACAAAATGGCTTTTGCCTGCCAGCAGAAGGACCATGGCGGGGAGTGAGCCTGGTCGTCTTTGGGCACAGCCTTCAGAAAGACCCTTTCTTGGGTTGCCGCCACATGTGCCTCGGAGGGTGGCAGTTGTCTGGAAAAAGAGCCTCTCCAAAAGATCTTAATAGCCAGACAGACTTGTGTCTGTCCTGACCTAGGGTGCTAGTCTTTCCCTGCCCCTCTCTTTCTCCTCCTTGCATGTTTTTAAGCTACTCTATATGTCTCCTCTTCCTGAACTTTTTGCCAAGCCAAAGAGCCCCAAGTGTTGTAGCGTCTCATAGAGGTGTTGCTATTATTATTATTATTATTATTATTATTATTATTACATTTTTATACTGCCCATAGCCAAAGCTCTCTAGGCAGTTGACAGCAATAATCATAGAATCATACACTCAAGTCACCCATCCCCCTTCTGCCCAGGCCTGACCCTGCTTAGCTTCCAAGATTAGGCAGGATGTCCCTGATCGCTTTAATTTCCCTGTTTGGTGCACTCTTTGCAGTGGTGCGATATTATTTTAGAAGTGGGGCAACCAGAACTGAATACGGTGTTGCTAATGCAGTTCCATCATAAAGCTGAATAAAGGTCTCCTGGAAGTCCCATTGAAAGCAACAGAATCTAAGTTAGTTGCGGCTCATTTGTTTTGTGGGTTTTATGACTAACCGCATATTGCTAACATCTGGAACTGGTTGAAGAATACACTAAACTGCTCTATTTGGGACCAATGGCCTCAACCCTGTGCCAGGAACTGCCAAGGGCTTGCAATCTTTCTTACATTTATTTTACAAAATTGATTAAAGCCCACTATTGTACCGTCCAAGCAATCATTCTGGGCATTCTGTTTGTTCTGTTCCCCAGTGTTGCTGCAAAAACTCTTGCTGGAGTACGATACATCTGTGCTTGTTCTGCTGGCCAGTTCTTCCAAGCCCAAGATGCCGGGCTCCACTGGGCAGAAGACAGTTCTGCGGAAGCAGGTCAGCAGCTCCTCTGTTTGGGGCTACACATCTCAGGAAGGATCGTCTCTGAAACACAAGAACCTCCTAAACAAAGACAAAGGAGGAATGGAGTCAAAAGGTATGATACTCAGGGTCTTTATATCATAGTTTGCTCTGCTTTCTATGGAATTTGACATCCAACTGCATTCAGATATCCTTCTGAATTCTTCTCATTCCAACATGTTTCCCTATCTACTTTCCCAATTTGTAGCATTTCCCAATTCGGTGTCCTCCAGATGCTTTAGACTACAACTCTCATTATCCCCCAACCAACATGGCCACTGAGAGTTGTAGTCCAGCATACCTGGAAATCTCTGCTAAACAGCTCTAATAAACAGCTTCCCTTATTTTTGAACAAGAAAAGGCAAGGATTACTATCCCGCTGTATCAGGGAGGCAGGCTCTTTGCTGGAGAACATGGGAATTTTCATGTGCTGCTTGGCCACTGTGTGAAGAGATTGCTGGACTAGGTGGAGTCTTGGTCTGAGCCAGCATTGCATTTCTGTCCTTATGAGATGGGAAACCTCTGGCCCTGATGAGCTTATCACAACCTGCAAGGCTGCCTGATGCAGCTCTCCAGGTCTTCCACAATCTCTGCCTCTCTTCCTAACACAGAAACACCCTCACTCCAGATTTAGTGTTTGGTCAGAGATTAGAGCTTTTCTCTGTGTAGTGAAAAAGGGAAGCGCTCTTATTGTTATGCAGCAGGGAAAAGCTCTTATCTCCATTCAGCTGCTAATTAAAGATAAAGGCATGTCGGAGCAGAGCAGGCTGGAGCCAGGGATCAGACTAGATGGCCCAGGAGGTCCCTTCTGACTTGCTCTGTTTCTGTGTTTCTTGTTGGGGAAGAGGGGTCAGGGCCTGGAGAGGAAGCTGCTGAGTGATTCAGACCTGCTTACCTCTGAGTGTTGTCTTACAGAGGCTTGCCCAGCTTACTTGTGAGTGGAGATAAGATAAGGAGGCTCGCCCTGCTTACTTCTGAGTAGACATACAAAAGCCTTCCTTGCCTGCTTGCTTCTGAGTGGGCTTAAAATCAGAAAAAAAAATTACACTTTGGCCCCACTCACAGGTGTATTACACCCCCAGTAATTTCTCAAATTAGAATTTAGTGCATAGGTTGAGAAAGGTTATGTGAAAAGTAATTTACTAGCAGTATAACTACTGTCTATTACTGCTGAGAACATTGCACTTAAATGATAGCCAACAACATATTGTTTCTAAGTCAATGCAACTGGTTTTGCAGGAGAGGAAAGAGGATCGAAAGCAAATACCAAGCAGGACTCTGAGTCGCTGTTTCCCAGGTAACTATTCAAGCATTTTAAAAGGGGCCGCTGAAGTTTGCATGGCACAGTCTCTGCATTTAAGAAGGCTTTTCCTGCCAGCCGAGACAGCATATCTGTGTCCATGTCTCACGCTGACAGAATGCAAGCGTACTGCTCTGTTTCCTCACAGTTCTCCCTTCCCCTCCCTTTCCCCATGGCATATGTGAATTGTAATGCTCCCGGGCAATCATATAAAGCTGTCTTGTTATTCCTGACATATCTTCCTTATTATGTTCTACTGGGGTCTTTTCTACTTGGATCAGCATGCACCTGATGAAGCAGTTCACAAAAGCTTGTCATGATTAATGTGCTAATCTTCAAGGGTGACGAGACTCTTGTTGTTTGCACTGCAACATGGCTGAGCCCTTCGGATCTGGACTAGCCATTCCTCTTTCTTGGGCAGAGGGATGACCCAGACCTTTTAACTAGAGACAGAAGAGACTTCACCTCTGTCTCAGCATACAAATTGTGTGGTCTGTCAGACCTGACTTCCTCAAAGCACCAGCCACCAAATACGTGTTAATGACAAATGTTTTTATTTCAGCAGAATGACAGTTCAAGTCCACAGATCAAAGACCTTAGTGAGTCCAGCTTCAAACAGGATAGCCCAAGCAGAAGCCAGAAACAGAGTCTTAAGAGTCCAGCAGGATATTCCGAGGCAGGATGCAAAGAAAACAGATTCCTTTTATGCGGGCACTGTATCTGAGTTTAAGCATAACTCAAACCAAAAAGTCTGGGGCCAGTGATACCATACCTCAGCCCCAGCTTGTATTTGGGGTAGGGTGACTCGAATTCCTCACTTGTCAATCTGGTCCAGGGAATTGCGGCCTATTCCAAAGACTGCCGCTGCATTGCAGTCTCTGCCTCCCCTTCACTGAGCCCCTTTGTGAAACCAGGCGGAGGCAAATTCCCAGCATCCTGGCTTTTCCCACTTTGATTAGACCCCAGGTGAGATCCTTCTGCCCCTGAATCAGAGTCTTCCTCTGAGAACACAGCACCAGGGGAAGGCAAGATCTCCTTAAAACTGTAAACCTAAATTTACTGAACAAAGATACACCTTCCTGGAAAAGAGCCTAGATGAAAATATGTAAGTGCATTCAAGTCTCCCCATCCTTGCCTGGGATCAGATGAGTACAGGAGAAAACACATACCGAGGCTTTATTGTGATGGGGTGGCATAGAAATGTTTTAAATAAATAAATAATACACTCCCCAGCCCAACTCTTGGGCAAATGGCTGTCAGAGTTCCATGTAGACATCAAAAAGCATGGGGGACAAGAAGGGACTCTGTGAATATAACCCAGAGGCAAGTGAGTGGAGCAACAGCCCCAGCAACAACATCTGGAAGCTGCCACTCAAGTAGACTGCTCCCTAGTCCCATCTCTAGGAGGCAGTCCAGAAGTATATCATGTTTCTTGGGATCAAAAACCACCCAGAGAATTCAGAAGACTCAGTAAGGTTGAGCATCAGGAGGAGTGTGACCTTATTCAAGTGTTCATCAAACTAGCTCCCTCCAGTTATGTTGGCCTGCCTGGCAACATTCCCAGCCAGCACTGCCATTGATGGGCGTTTCTTCGTTTAGGCACTTACTCATTTGCTGTCTATAACTGCCAAAAGGCCTTCCTAGATGGCTTACAAGTTGCAATCCAGCACATCTGGAGCGGGCCAGACGGGAGGTAACCTGGGTTGCTGTCCAACACATTTGGGGAAGCCTGCACCAAGTCTATTGCTATCCCTAATCAGGTCCCTCTCAGTCCAGTTTTCAGCATCAAAAACCTGGTGATACACTACCCCCACCACCAAGAAATATTTGGTTAATGGACTGTAATTATTTAAATCAGGTGTCCAGAGATCCAAAGGAAAACCACTGCCTCTTTTAATACCCAACTCAGTTCCAGCTTGGCCTTCTTAAAATCGGCCTTACTGGGCCAGGATGGTAGACAACACAGAGAATTAAGCCGGTGAGCAGTAGCCAATTTCTCAAGCACTCCTAAAGCCATCCAGGTACCCATCTGCAATGCTACAGAATGCCACTACTGCAACTGAGCTTGGAATGACTAAATACAGTCATGCTGGCAAAGGGGGGAAAAGTATGTATTGTACCAGTATTTAATTTCTTAATGGTCACCTTTGATCTATAGGAAAATGTGGGGCACTTCAGACTTTGAATTTGGCAAGCCGCTTGGCAAGGGGAGATTTGGAGCAGTGTATTTGGCCCGGGAGAAAAAGACTCACTTCATCTTGGCTTTAAAAGTCATATTTAAGTCGGCCTTGGAGAAAGCCCAGCTAGAACACCAGCTCCGAAGAGAAATAGAGATACTAAGTCACCTCAGGTAAAGCAACTGAATGGCTCAGGTAGGGTATCTAGACCAGACTTACCCAATTTGGTGTCCTCCTGGGATTAAAGTTCCTAGAATCTCCCAGCTAGTATAGTCCAACTTCCAAACTGGAAAAGTCTGGTCAGAAGACCACTTTGGCATGGTACTGTTCTGCTTGTTCTTCTTTTGTGAGTGCTTCCCTTGGACGAATTTCTTTTACAAAGAGGTCCAAGAGGCTGATGCCTTTTTGTAATATCCAGGTTGAGCATAGTGGAGGCACAAGTGTTGTTGTTATGTGCCGTCAAGTCAACTCCAACGTAGGGCCACAATATGAATGAAAGCCCTCCAAAATGTCCTAGTTCTAATAGCCCTGCTCTTTTAAATTCAAGGTTTTGACTTCTTTGATGGCGCCAATCCATCTCCTATTTGATCATCCTTTTCTTCTTCTGCCTTTGACTCTACTCCTGTGCTAGGAGGGAAAGAAGCAGGAATTATCACTGACACTCTTTTGGCTGCTCTGGCCAACGGAGTTCCCATGAAAATGCTTCCCTGGAGCAGCATGGGCTATCCATGTGCCTTTATCAAGTAGAAGTAACTCATTCTGACAACACTTATCTACGGAAATCTGTCAGGGAACCTGTAACAATGCAAAATGGACTGGAATGTGGTAGGGTACAATTTCATACTTTTGACAGACTCTGATTTTCTTGAAATATATTCTTACCGCTGGTGAACTTTCACCTTTTGGTGCTCCCTCACAGGAAAGATTAAAATCTTTTGGAAGAGGCAATTGTGTTAATTTCTTACAGGATGTACATAAAACTGTTGAACAATGCAATCCAGTGCAAGCTTAGACAGAAGAAAGCCTTACCATTCCCAGCAAGCCTCTGCCAACATCGCTGGCTGGAGGAATGCTGGAAGTTGTGGGTCTTTTTCCTATTTAAACTGGGATTGGATTACACCCTAAACCCAGTTTCTCCATCAGAATGTGCCTCCCACCTCTGCCTTGTTCTGATGTCCATTCATGAAACAGCACAGGGAACATGTCTTTCTTAAGAACAAGGCAGCTCCTATAAGCAGCCATTTTGTGCAAGCACCCACAACACCCACAATTGCAAATATGCCCAGTGATTCAGGAAGGCTGGGGACACAGCAATCCTTCAAAAGCTCCTATGAAAAGAATTCTTGACTTGAATGGGTTGGATCTTAACAAACTAGCTGTTTGAGTCCTCTGTCCACTGGACAAGCATTCAATTAAGAAAAATAACCACACGTGTGTCAGAAATAACTTTAGTAAATAGCTACCTGAAAAGTGCTGCAAGTTTAGAACTTCTACTTCATTGATGTTTAGACAGAAAATGATGAACTTTGTATTTAAGTGACTCAGCATTTCAATGTGTGGTGCTTGTTTAAGGAAAGCTGGCAGGGGATCTTTGGACACACCCTTCCAAAGATCCCCTGCCCTCCTGCAAAGAACCAGGAAAGAAGACAGGGATCCCATTAATTTGAGATTGTTTTAAGTTTACATCCAGTTGCTGTTCTGCTTTTCGGCTTGGTTCTGTTTTCATTGTAAATATTTGCATTGGTTTTTTAACTATGTTGTAACCCACCTTGGAGGTTTTGTAGCCAAAAGAAGAGATAAAAAATCTTCTAAAAGTTTTTTTTTTTTCAAATTATAGCTGTTGATCCTTGGCTGCAATTCTATGTACATTTTTCTAGCTGCAAGCCCACCATAAAAGGGGCTGCTTCCAAATAAAGGATTGGCAGCATGTAACTCAAATCACAATGCTATTTTCTACTTGGATGGGACAAAAGTGCTTACTGTGTTTGCATGTAAACATTATTTTGGCCTTCTATCTTTGGCTCCCTGTCATAATTTATCCCTTACATGGGGTACAGCATCATTTCTCCCTCTTTCCTGTTTTGATCTCGCTAGACATCCAAATATCCTAAGGATGTATAACTACTTTCATGATCAATCCAGAATTTTTCTGATGTTGGAATATGCTCCAAAGGGGGAGTTGTACAAGGAGCTACAAAAGCAAAAACGCTTTGATGACATTAGAACAGCAACAGTAAGTGCAGTGCACAATCCAATGTGATCACTCTGTGACTGGAGTGGTTGGGGACTGACTAAGGGCCAGCCAGAGGTGTGTTTCAAGAGAGGGTTTTATGGCTGACAAATGGACTGGCCAATTAATGCTATGCAGAGATAGGTTTTCTCAACCAGGAGCAAAAAGTTCCCTGAGTTTGGGAAGAAGGGAAGGCTATATACGTATCACAGGCAGTGAGGAGTTTACTTCCATTGTTGTCTTACCACTAAATTTATGCAGAGATGTATGCAATCCCAGCTACCATTCAAGATTAATCATCAAGCATCTACCAAAAAAATAAAAAATGTCTTATTTTAGGTCTTTTTGGACTGCAGCCTGAATTTCAATAAATTTAGGCAACATAAAAAAAATAAAAAATGGAGAGCCAGTGTGGTGTAGTGTTTACGAGCATGGGACTGGGACTCAGGCGATCTGGGTTGTAGTCCCCGCTCGGCCATGGAGCCAGCTGGGTGACTTTGGGCCAGTCACAGACTCTCAGCCCAACCTACCTCACAGGGTTGTTGTTCTGGGGATAAGATGGAGGAGGAGAATGATGTAAGCTGCCTTGAGCCCTTTGTAGGAAAAAGGCAGGATATAAATCGGAAAATAAATAAAATGTCCCATGACACCATTTTTGTTGTTCATGATAATTTAAATAACCCAAGTACCCATATCCAAAAAGCACACAAATGTAAGATGGAGTGTTTGTTTTGAATACTTATTGGCTCCCAATTTTCATGTGACTAAAATGTTTTGAATGTTCAAGCATTAAATATCTTTATTTTTAATTAGAAACAAAACTATGGTTTGGAACCAGGGCCGTCTTAACACATGGGCCTGATGGGCACTTTCCCGTGGGCCCCATACTAATCTGTGTATGTTAACCCTTCATTTTTACATTTTTATTCCTGTGAGTAGTTGTCGTAGAGCCCCCAGTACACTGCTTTGCCCGGGGCCCATAATGCTGTAAAGACGGCCCTGTTTTGAACCACAAAAGCAGAACACTGATACAAACTGGCCAGAATGGGGAACACACACACACACCATTTCTGAATGCTAGCATTGTTCTTCTTTGGGGTATTTTTTCTACCTCATACAAAAAAAGTCTCTGGTGAAACAAATATTCCCTATACAAGGTGGAATTTCATGGATTTCAGGTTTCACCTTCCAAGGGTTTGGTGAGGGAGAAGCTTGTTCCTGACATTCAAAATAAAGATGGCCTGCAATAACCTTAAAAGGGCATGGGGCATGTTGTGTCGCAAATTACATTGTGTGAGCCTCCAAAAGCACCCAATATCCTAGGATATTTTATGTCCCTACCATGCTTTTGTTTATAGAAAGAAAACAACAAAAGGCAGGTGACTTAAATCTGAGGACGTTGTTTACTACCGTAACAGGACTAGAGTGTAGGTCTACCTATGTGTAAAATGTAAATTACCCAACAAAATATGAACCGAGAATCATGATGAATATTTAACATTTGTTATTTCTGGCACAATATATACTACAGTATATGGAAGAAATAGCGGATGCTCTGATGTACTGTCATGCTCAGAAAGTGATCCACAGAGATATTAAGCCCGAAAACCTCCTATTGGGATTAAGAGGAGAGCTGAAGTTGGCAGACTTTGGCTGGTCAGTGCATGCTCCATCACTAAGGTAAACCTTTCTTCTTTTTAAACAATACCTCTTCTTAAACAATTGGTGTTTCAGGTAAAGACTGATCCTTGAGGTAAACTCAAATGGCTTCCTGCAAAATGCAGTGTCATCTTAGGAGTTCTTTGTCTGCCAGGCCTAGGACTGGAGTGGCATTCCAGATTCACAGGCACTGAGAGAGCTGGGGGTGCTTCCGGTCAGAGGTTCCTGGCTTTAGCAATCAGAAGGACTGTGCACTAGTTCCACACACATACTTGGATCAGCATTTGAGGCTCTGCTCTTCCATTTCCCCATCCCAGTTTGAGATGCAGGACAAAGGATGGGCTCCTCAGAGGCAGCAGTACACAGCTGCTGAATGCTGCCCTGGAAAGGGAAACCCACCTAGCTCCCTCACACCTTGCCTTTCAGAGGAGAGTTAAAAAACGGATTATTTCAGAGTACCTTCAAAGAGAAAAGGCTGTTTCACTCCTGCTTTTCTGTTCTGAAATTGTTTTGCTTGAAGGTATCTTGCTGCTTTGGTATGCTGTATTAAAGGTATGCTGCATTAACACTGTTTAGATTTTACCTACCACACGTTTTCCAGTGGAAAGGTGGGATAAAGATGGGTTTGATAAGTATCACCTAGTCTCACCAGTAGCATTTCCTCAGAATCTCTTAAGCCAGTATCATCCCAGTCCTACTACTCGAGATATTTTAAACAGAGATGTCAAGAACTGAACTGTGCTAGCAAAGCAAGGTTTTTGGCTGATGAGTAACGGTTTCTTTCCTAGGCAGCTTAATAAGCAGCTGCCTAGATTTTTCCCAACTTTCTTTGGACTTTTCATTCTACTTGACTCTCACCATATGTTGAGTACAAAAGTCAGGATATATTAATCAGAAGGAATGAATTCAGGTTTTGCTATAGAACTGGAGTGGTCTACCTGGCACACAATTTATTAGACTCCAGAAAATCACCAAAGCCCATGGAGTTTTGCAATAAGCAAAACCAGGCCCAGGCCCCAAAGAATGCACAACTGAAATATTGACAGTAGCACAGGGAAAAGAAGATGAGTGTGTATAAATGCAATTCATTTGTATTTGGGATGTATCCCAGTTGGATAGGAGGACCATGCCAGGAAAAGTAATTCACTTGTTAAGAATAGGGTTAGTAAAAGAGGTCTTTTTGAAGCCTGCTATGAAGCATTTTTAAGAGAATAACTTGTGTTGCCACAAATGTAATTACTTGGATTCCAACAATGTATGTTTATTTTTTCATTTTTTTAAAGGCGGACAACACTATGTGGCACCACAGACTACCTTGCTCCAGAAATGATAGAGGGGAGTCCCCACAATGAAAATGTGGATGTGTGGTGTGTTGGTGTCCTTTGTTACGAGTGTCTGGCAGGATATGCACCATTTGAAGCACCAACTCGAATAGAGACATTCAAACGAATAAAAGAGGTAAGTTTAAAAATCTTAGAGCTTATAACCAATGACTTCAAACTCACAGCCAATGCTTACTTGTCCAGCTGACTTGCATGGGCCCACTGACCTGGTTTTCACATAATGGCCATTGTTTACAAATTGCCTCAATCTGCATGCTCATCACTCCCAATTAAGCTGCAACTGCAAGTTGCTACAACTCATAAATTGCTCTCATGATGTCCAAGCCTGGACACTCTTAGGCTGTTTATGCATTAAACAGGTAAAGCAACAAGAAACCATGGGTTAACTCTGGATTGTTTTACCCCTATACAACTCAGTGTCTGGGTTCAGACATCACAATAACAACCTATAAATTCCATAACTGTTAATTTCTTACTTGAAACCAGAAGAAAAAAAAAAACCCAAGGAAGCACACTAAATTTCACCTGCTTGTCTCTGACAAGCCACAAAGTGTCATGACATGCAAACTGGGCTGCTGATTTAAGAGGGTAGGTACTGCTTGATCAGCAGTGTGCTACGGGTGCAATTTCCTTGTCCAGGGAGAAAATACGCTCTACAGCAGATGGACATGGCTGATGTGTTATGGAGAGGACATGAGCTAGTGTGTAAGTCATGCAGATAGGAAAGCTGGAGCTGATGAATCAGATAAAGTGGAATTAGACTTTGTTTCTCAAAAATAAATATATCCCAGAAGTCAGAAGAAATATTGTTAGACATTAACATTTAAAAAAACATCCTTATTTCCCAGGTTGACTTTGAATTTCCTCCTTGGGTGTCAGATGGAGCCAGGGATCTAATCTCCAAAATACTTAACCGAACACCTTCTGTGCGGCTTCCCCTGAAAGAAATAATAGTACATCCATGGGTTAAGACCAAGTCAAGGAGAATTTTGCCTCCTGTCTACAATCAAGAATAGTAACTGCTTGCACTGCACCTTGAAGGCTGTTCTTTGTAAATATGTATTGTATTTAAGGTTGTTACTCCTATATACCATTACCTCTCCACACTGATAGAAATATGCCTTGTGTATCTACCACATTCGTAATGGCTGGAGAAGCAGTCATGTAAAGGGGAAAGGGGTGAAGCCTGAATTTTGTACTGTTTTAAATATTATCAGAAATAAACACATGGAATAATTCTGAAAATAGTAGCTGCTTCGAAAGATGGTTCAGGCAAACACTCTGATGAAGGCAGAACGTGCTCATGATTGCCATGTTGAAGTATGAGCATCACAGCTCATACTTTTTGCTATTAGATGGAGCAACTAAAAGGTAGCAAGCAACCTTTCCAGTTCCCTAGGTCTAAGACATTTCTTCAGGCTGATCTTTTCTTGCCTTTTCTTAAGAAAGTGAGGACAGTACATAATAGAAAAAACTCAGCCTCTGCAATTTGAGGTGATTTAAGATAGTTGCAACAGTGATAGGTACCGAAATGACCCGGCGCTCAGACCCACAAAAAAACAAACAAACACATATTTGCATATGCTAATATACAAGCTATCTAATATCTATGTATATGGGTGTTTAAAGGACTCCTAAAGGCATCCCTATTTGTAAAAAGTCTTGTATGCACAGGAGATAGAAAAGTATATGATTTCAGGGGGAAAAAGTCAGAAAGATTCAAAGGGCAGACAGCGGGAGGTGAAGCTCAGATGCAGCTGACATCACCAGGGCTGCTGTACCTTTATTTCAGCGCTTGCCCATGGACACCACGCAGTAGGACAGATGGACTCTCAGAGTTCTCCAGCCCTAATGGCCTGCTCCCTAACACTGCCTCTGGATGGTGTATACAAGGTATTCGCCAGATTTAACTAGGTTAGAGTATGCTGGTGCGCATCAGATTTAGGTGGTATGTATGATGGACGAATGAAACAGAATATGGAAAAAAAGAAGCTGACAATAAACTGAATGATCTTAAGTGCAGGAAGCAAAGAGTAAGAATCAAAAAAAGACAATGCAAAAGAAGAAGGAAGTGAGGAACAAAACAAACACAGGCACTAAATTCTTAACTGCAGTGTAGAACTAGTGGTGAGAATGGATCTAGTCACAAAGAACTGCTGTTTCCACCCTCCATGCCTTCAGCAGCAGCAGGTGGTCTGTAGCAGGAGGAACCAGCAGCCAGAGCTTACGCAGACACAATTGAAGGGTGCCTGGCAGCTGTTTCCTCACCCTCCGAGAGCCTCAGCAGGCTTTGAAATAAATAACCCAGAAGCAAGGACAGTAAAGACAAGCAATTGCAGTAATTTGGGGTACGTTTAGAAAAACAATGCACTGTAGAACACTGAGTCACCTAAGACACTTGTCATCCTTGTAAAATATAAGGCCCCTTAAGCTGTAATTGATACCATTTAGTGTTTTCAGGCCTGCACAAAGCATGCATGTAAATACCTCTCTTTCCATCTAAATATATTTCATTTTGGTTATGGTGCAAATTTACACCTCATAGTACCACAGTCATTTAAGAAAGTCCTTAGCTGTACCCAGTCATTTGTTAATCTGAAGATAGGCTCCTGTTTCTTCACTCTGCCTAAAAAAGGTGGTTTTGTGAAGAAAGCAAGGTGGGGGCCTTGAGTCTGCCACTATTCCACTCCCGGGTATGCAATGCAGAAGGTATGCCCAGGAACACATACAAAGGGGAGCCAGTAACACCCACATGTGAACGGAGCAGGACCTGGCAGCTAGAAAGATGCAGTGTAAATAGACATGCAGAACTACATATATCCCAGGTGTTTTGCAAAGTCTTCTCTTCTTCTCTCTTGTTATTCTTTGTTATTGTTTTAGTTGTTTAAAGCTTTATTCTGATTTTATATTTTTATTGTACTTTTACCATCTTGTTGCCCAAAGGGGTGCCATGTTCTGGTGTGTGTAGCCCAGTATCACAAACCAGGATTAAGGGTTTTTTTTAGTTTATTCTCAATAACAAACAGCTAAAAGTGGAGCTTCCTCTAGCCAGCAATGTCTAGCTTTTGGCAATGGTTGCATAATTTACTTGTAAAATTCTAAACCGATCGATTTGCTTTTCAATCTGTTTGTATCGACTGCTGTAAACTGCCCAGAGAGCTCTGACTGTGGGATGGTACAGAAATGAAATAGAGGCCAACAAGAGATGCTATATGAAAAGTGGAGGTGTATGGGTGAAGACATCCTTATCCTCAAGCCTTTCCACAGGGAAAGCTAAAGGGAAAGCCACGTCTGCTGGCTGGGGATGATGGGAATTGCAGTTCGACATCACTGGAGAGCCTGGAAAAGGCTTTTGAAGACCACACACGCACATATGCATGAGGTAATACAGCGTACATACGGCTCCTTTCCCTCCGCCCGCCTTTCTCCGGGTACCGCAATCACGTTCCTCAGCAAGTGTAGCGACGCCTGAGTAATGCTACGCATGCGCTGCTCCGACGGGTTTTGTTTTGTTTTGTTTTTTTTCCTCGTAACGGATTCGACCGGAGACGGTTAGGGAGTCGCGCGTGCGCATTGGTGTAGCTCACTGGTGACCCTCCCATTCACGTAGGGGAAGGGAAAGCTTCTGATGTCATCCGAGCCATGAATGGCGCGCCGCTCTGTCAGGGGTTTCCCGGGTGATTAGTCCCGCCTCTTCCCCTTTGCGGCCGGCGCCCTGCGATCATCCTGCGACCTCGCCCGGCTGGTGGCTTCCCCTCCGTGGCGCCCTCCGGTCCTCCTGAGAGCGGGCAAGCGGCTCGGACGAAAGCCAGCCGCGAGGGAGCAAGGTGGGAGGCGGGACTGCAGAAGCCGCACTACGGAGGCCCCGCTGCCTTATTCTCCCTCCTCTCCCCGCAATGAAGATCTGGACCTCGGAGCACACGTTCGAGTGAGTGGCCGCGGCACTGAAGGGGCGAACTGGAGGGGAATGGGGGAGACCTTGGGAGGTCTCTACCCCCTCGGGGGCGGCGCTAGCCCGGTTCTTTAGTAACCCTCAATGTGACAGTTCTTTTCCTCTGCCCGCTTCCGCGAAGGCTCCTCTAATGCGCCCACCGCAGCGCTGCTTTGGCCAGAGATCAGCCTTCGCTTCCTCTCTTCCCATACCCGTATTTATTTATCTTATTAATAAATTGCATGCATAGCCTACCTTTTATCTGCTCTCGCAAGGATCCCGAGGTGGCTGATATGGTCCTCTTCTCCATGTTATCCGCACAACTACCTTTTGAGGTAGCTTAGGCGGAGAATGAGTGAGAGGCTTGCCAAAGGGGATTAGAACCCAGCTCCCCAAGCCACAGCCAGCACAACCTCATAGCACACCGCTTTCCTTTGGCGTGGACCCGCCTGCAGCCCCATTCGCTTCAACGTATTCCAAAATCCCAGTCGTCCCTCCGGGCATGGCTCTGGCTCAGAAAGACCTGCTGGGGGCGAGTCTCATGACCTTGGATGACTCTGTGCATGCTCCGTATCCCTTTATGTCCCCCCACCCCACCACTGGCTGTTATTTCTCCGTGCTTTGGTCAGGTAGGGTAGTCTGTAGAGGAGGGTTTTGGAATTAGCTGCCAATTGGGGGGTATCGTCCCCCTTTCTGTCACCTGCCAAGGACAGGAAGAAAGAAAGCCAGGAAGATGTATATCTGAAAGGTACTGTAGAAAGGTGCGCAAAAGTGTTGGGTGGGGGTGGGAAAAGGGTCCGAAAGTGTGAAAGGAGACTTCTCTGGTTTGCACAACTGTTTCGCTATCAGGCAGCATAGAAATGAAACAGCATTAATATTTCATGGGGTGGTTATTTTGTCAAAAGAGAAGCATTACATCAGAGGTGGCCTTGAACTAGCAGGTTGCCAGTATCCCTTTTCTCCAAGTGATCAAGGGTAACTGCCTTGGGTATAATGGCTTCTCTTTACGGTGCACAGTAGAAGCTGATGCCGCCTGCTCCGCTCCTGAGTTTGTAAAGTCCCAACAGAAAGTTCTTGTGGGGGGCCCTGCTTTCATTGTAACAAAAAGTGCTCTGGAGAAGATTGTCTCCCCTCCCCTGCCTTTGCAAGCCATAATGGCATGAAACTTCCTCCTCCTCTATACTGTGCAGGCTGCACGTGGTTCGTCATGAGATGTTCTCGCAATTGCTGACTGAAGAACTTGCTTGCCACGACACACTGCCTTTGCTAGTTTTGAGTGCCTTTTTCCATCAGTCATGGATTTTTGGGATTGAAATAGATACAGGGCCAAGTCTTAGCTATGCCATAGTCAGGTCACCCCAAGTTCAGTTTATCTCTTCAGTGTCTATAAGCCAGAAGAAACAAGATGCAAAATGGCTCCATGTTTTCAACTCGCCGCAGAACCAGAGAGCTTTCTCTGTGTGCTTCGTTTACCTGATGTGTTAAGTCCCTTTATTGTCTTCCCAGACAATGCTTAGCTTGTTCCAGATTTTGAGAATTTCCCACTACTGTAGCAGTTCTGTTTTTTTCCCATATCTTTTTTTGTCTTTTAAGATGCCACAAGACATCTTAATGTAATGGTAGTGACATGGTAATTTTTCTGGTGAATGTTGCACAATGGACAACTTACTTAAAGTGAAAAAACACTGTTGTACACAAACCAGTGATGTGCATTTTCCAGAAAAATGTTAATTGGAAAAAAAGTATGGACACTTTTCTAATACAAACTTAAGCTAGGACTTAGTTTTTAGCAGAAAATGTTCTGTTACTGTACAGTTGGAGTGGGCAGCTTGTATGTTTTGCCTATCATTTTGACAATGGTCATCATCCCTCTGACTGTGCTGGCTTGAGCAGATGGGAGGTAGAGGCCAGCAGCTGATCACCCTTTCTGTAGAGAGATCTAACTTTGTATGTTTATTCTACTAGTGTTTAGTAAACAACAGATCTAAAAAAGAACATCTATCATATTAACTCTTTGATACAATACAGCACAAATATTAGACAAGAATTTTTGGAAGAAAAATAAAGCATATTTAATGCAATTTAAATGTTATGTAGAAATCATTATAAGAATACTTGCAAAAATTTAAAGACAAGAGCATGTACTGCCTTTATGTTGCTTAAGAAAGAAAAGTTACTGGAAACCGTTGATACATCCAAAGAAATAGCCATGATATATGCTGGCAATAGGTATGCTCATCTATTTTAATAGAGTTCCGCTCTCATCCACCAAGGTTGTTGGGGAAAGTTCAGTTTTTGCTGTCACAATTTATTCATTCTATTTCAATCAAACATATATGTATTTCAGTGACATACATGTATCCTCTCACATAATTGTTAGGGATAATTGGCTGAAAACATTTGTTATAATTTTGAAACTTCCGGCCTTGCCTAATACTATGTTGTTGTTGTTGTTAGTTGCGAATATTCATTTTCACTAGTGACAATTAAAGTACTGGAAAAATGTTTTGCCTCTGCTGCTGCAGAGAACTGTTTGGTTTGGGCGTCCACTGGCTTGGAGGCTCATTTGCAGGCTCTTTTCTTATGTAGCATAATGACTTGAAAACAATTACCTTATTGGTTTTGTTTTGCTTTTCCTTGACAGTCACCCCTGGGAGACGGTTACTACAGCTGCTATGCAGAAATATCCAAATCCCATGAACCCCAGTGTGGTTGGCGTTGATGTCCTAGACCGGCATGTGGATCCGAGTGGAAAGCTGCATAGTCACAGATTGCTCAGTACAGAATGGGGCATGCCCTCCATCGTAAAATCAGTAAGCTTCCATCTAGATTCATGACCATTTTTTCTGAACGTATTTCTTTAGAGTTGCCTTGGTTTTCTGCAATGCAATCTTCCCTGAAAAGGGTACTGGGGTTCAGTTTGTCTTTACACTTACTAAAATTTCTTTCAAGATACTTTCTTCGGATTTTCTGGCATTCTTTATTTATTTTATTTATTTATCGATTTATATCCTGCCTTTTTCCTACAAAGGGCTCAAGGCAGCTTACATCATTCTCCTCCTCCATCTTATCCCCACAGCAACAACCCTGTGAGGTAGGTTGGGCTGAGAGTCTGTGACTGGCCCAAAGTCACCCAGTTGGCTCCATGGCCGAGCAGGGACTAGAACCCGGATCGTCTGAGTCCCAGTCCCATGCTCTTCACCACTACACCACTCTGGCTCATTCTTATGATGCATTTGCATTCTTATGATGCAAAGCACTAATTTTGTTCTGACTTATTTATGTTTTTAACCATAGTTATACAGAATTCAGAACTGGAAGCATTTAATGTCTCACAGTGGTTACCAACCATTAATTTAACTGTTTATAATAAATGAATTTCTTGTATTTGATTGTTCACTATACTTTCTCATTGAATGAATAGTCTAGCTGGTTTGGTTCTTAGATTTCTAGGAGCAAGAATAATCTGCAGCAAATGATAACAGTCCATTGATAAAACAGTTGCAAAGAGGTAATTGGTGGAAAGCCAACAGGACTTTGCAAAGAGAGTATTACATAATCAGGTCATTTCTGACATATGCTTTCTAAAGGATAGATGTTGAACACATATGTGTACGGTGAATAGCGTGGCTCACTGATTTTATTTATTTATTTATTTTTAGGACCTCCTTGAGAGATAGCAAGAAACTATGATTTCTCACTGCATGAATGAGTCTGAGTCCTAGACTTGGATTCCCCTCTCCCCTTGCTTGCTTAGAGGCCTCTGTTGAAAGCTTCCACTTCTCATCTTAAAGTAACCATAGTTCCTGCGATGTCCAAACTCAAAACTGCAGCTTGCTTAAATTATAGGAGTAACAAACAAGGACCAAACAATGGCTTCAGATTTTGACTTGTTCTTAAACAAGTTATAAACAAACCGTAGATCTGAGACACAAGGGGAATTATGGTTCATTTAAAACCCAGAGCAGGAGCTTTTGCATTCCTCCTGAGAAATGAAGGGGGAAGGACTCCGGGGGAGCAGAAGCACACACAGGAGCTCGAGGTTTGTGCTTGTTCGTTCACATCGCAAGAACCGTGGTTTTCATGTCATACTTTCATGAGTTCTGACTGTCACCTGTTCAAATAAGCTGTAATTCCAAGAATAGGTGGCCTGCATGTCTGGGACCACTTTAATTCTTATGAATGCTTATATTTTGGCAATCCTTTAGTTTATTGTGTTTATATCCTGCCCTTTTTCCTTCCGAGGAACTCAAGGCAGCTCACATCATTCTCCACTCTTATCCCCACAACAACCCTGTGAGGTAGGTTGGGCTGAGAACCTGTGACTGGCTCAGAGATACCCAGTGAGCTCCATGGCTGAATGGGGACTAAAACCCTGATTGCTGGAATCCCAGTCGAGCATTCTCAAGCACTACACCAAAGTAATAATAATGGAAATAAACTCTAGGAAATGGCTTAACAGTTGAAAGCTATATTGTTAAAAATAGTTAGAGTTATTGTTAAAAAATAGCCCTTCTTCTTAAAACTGCATTTTTAATTAGTCACACATAAGGAAAAATGAGGAAAACGTTTTTACAATTTAAAAATTTAAAATTGCAAAGGGAAAAACAGTATGGGTGTCAGTGAGTTGTGTGTTTCAAGCCCATGAAGTAAAAGAAGCAAAAATGTACACAGATTTAAGTCTCTAGAAACACTGACTAGAAGTTTTCATATTTGTATTCCTTGGACTTATGTCAATAATTAAATTAGTTGAAAGGTGAATAAAGTTGGATGTTTCTCTTCTAGCTAATTGGTGCTTGTAGAACCAGAACATATATTCAAGAACACTCCATAGTTGATCCAGTGGAGAAGGTAATGGAGCTGAAGTCTACTAATGTAAGTATTAAGAGAACTGAAGCTTAAAAGTTCTGTATCTGTAATAGACTCCAGTCCTGCAATTTCATGCTTGTAAAGATCTGCTGAGTTTGGTCTTTTTCAAATTTATTTGGTAGTCTTTGATTTTGGCATATACATTCTGCTTGCACCTTTGCAGAGCTGTTTTTACATCTTTTGTTTTCATTGAATAGGAGTAGTGCTTGTTAGCAACATACAAATGAGATTTCCTTTGGAAGTCCTTATTGTACTAGATTGTGTCAACTTGCACTACTTTGTTTACGGTTAACATGGCAACCTTTTGTGAACCTGCCAGTCTGTGCTGGCAGTGACTCCATTCTAAAATGAAGGACATGAAACAAACTGGCTTGGTTCTAGTTCATGGTGCTTTATATGTGATATAGCCTTTGGGAAAAATGCGGTGAAGTTTACATTTAAGAACAGTGGCTCATTTCAGTAAAATACTGTACCCCTAATGATGTAGACAAAGCTTCAGTTTATTACATTTCACTTGTTGACATTAAGACTTACTGCATAAATTAACTCTCTTGTAGATTTCATTTACAAATCTGGTATCCGTAGATGAGAGACTAATTTATAAACCCCATCCTCAAGAACCGGAAAAGTAAGTAGTGTTTTTTCAATATTTTTCTTTAGATATACCTAAGGATTTGAGCACCTTGAAGCTAAGGAGATGTGGGGCTGGCCTGAGCTTGGAGGGGAGGCCACCTGGGAATCACTTGTGGCCACCATGAGTTCCACAAGGGGAGAAAGGCAGGATACGAATATAATTAATAAATAAATCATATGTTTTGCAGCATCTTAATAGTTAACATGCACTAACAAATGTTAACTACAGTTAAAAATATTAACAAGATCAATGAATGAACCATCAGATATATTGAGTGTGATTCTTGGTTGTCCAGTTGCATACAAGATGGCTGTTAAGGGGAGGAAATACAAAACCTGAAGTTAAATGACAAGAGAATACAGAGCGATTTAATTAGAAATTAAATATTTAGTTAGAGATTAAATCTATGCAAAGACAAGCTCCCTTCACAGCAGTGAAGGATTTCATGCTCTCAGTTCTTATGCCAACCTTACTCAGCTTATATGCCTGCCCGCCCCTTGAGATCAGCGGGAGAGGCCCTTCTCCGGTAACCCTCCGTGAAGGAAATTAGGAGGGTAAGTATTCAGAGGAGGGCTTTCTCTGCGGTGGTGCCCAATCTATGGAATGTGCTCCCCAGAGTGGTCCCCCTGGTGCCGTCGTTATTTGTTTTTTGGCGCCAGGCAAAGACCTTTTTATTTAAACGTTATTTTAATTGTTAATATTATTTATTTATTTATTCTTTGGCCAGGGCGACTTAATTTATACTGTTAAATTATATTGCTTTATATGATGTTATTTATTTATGTTTGTGAGCCGCCCCGAGGCATCGGCGAATGGGGCGGCATAGAAGTTCCCTAAATAAATAAATAAAACTTGGTACCGCACGTTAGACTTATGACATATTTGAAAATTGGATTTCAGCATTGTGTAGGGGAAAACCAAAACTGTAGTGCCCTGGGTGCTGGATGTAGACCAAAGAGTCCCAGTCCAATTCCTCACTGGGCCACAAAGTTCTCTGGCCAGTCTTTCAGAACTAACTGATCCTTCAAGATTATGAAGATAAAGGAAGGGTGGAGAACTGTGTAACCTGAAAATCAAGAAAAAGTGCATATGATAAAGACAATAGTATTGTGTGGGAGAGACGTCCTTGTGCCAGTCCTTGCCTGTTCTCTTCCCTGTCATGCCCATTTCCTGGTATGAAAGGAGGTGGCCACATTTCTGCCTGGCTTGTGGGTCTCTGAATTGTTTGCTTTGCACAGCCAGGCAAGCTTTTAGGATGAGTCAGTGTGATTGCTTAAAGGCCATTAAAATAATCTGGCTTTATGAGAAGGAACTACTGTTAAATTTTCAAATGAGTCATTAGCAGTGGCCATCAAAGTTGCACCAAATAATAACCAGAAAAACAATGCGGGTATGTTAACCCAGAAAAACAATTGCTTCTACAAATTTAAATGTTTACTATCATGTTATACAATAGTGAAATATAAACTCCACAGTTATATTAGCATTCTCATACTCTAAGCTAGCCTCCGGTCTTTTCTCTGCCCTTTCCAGCTTGTTGCTCTGTCTACACTCTATGGGAAGGGCATATTGCAAATAAGTTTTCCATTTCAGTACATTCCTGGTTATTGTGTGTTGGTGATATATTGATGGGGAAAGGCTTTAGCTTTTCCAGTTCTGCGTATTTTTTATCAGAGTAGGGAGCACAGGATTAACTCTGACATCATATGAGCACACTTCAGTTTGCATAACAAGTTTTCCCCTTGCCTTCCATTCACCTTCAGCCTCTGCCCCCCTACTTGCCCCCCCCCCCCAGGTCTGGGGCTGCACAGATTTAGGGAACAAGACTTAAGAGCTGAGCTGGGGAAGTGAAAAACTGCTTTGCAGACAGGGTTGGGTACAGCCCCAGAATGTGCCTGACACAGACGAGCAAGAAAAATGATTCGAGAATATCCATTCTGAGCACCTGAGTTAAAGGAGCCATGTGCCTCCGATCACCTTCCCAAATGCTTTGTTTTCTTTGTAGTAAGTAGCATCATTACTTTATAGTTCATTAGTGCTGATGGAGAACAAAACCAGTTGTTTATCAGAGTTGGAGAAATGACTTTGGAAATGTCTGTCTCTTTCCTCCTTAGAACGGTTTTGACTCAAGAAGCAACAATTTGTGTGAAAGGGGTTAGCGTCAGCAGTTACCTGGAAGGACTGATGGAAAATACAATATCTTCAAATGCTAAAAAAGTATGTATTGCCATCTAATTCTGAATCTGGACCCAAAAGCTGGATGTGTGAAATCCAACTTTCTTTCTTGACTAGAAAGTCCCTTGATTTCCTAATAAAAATGTGCCTGTTTGCAGGGACGTGAAGCACTGGAATGGGTGATCAACAAACTGAATGCCGAAATAGAGGAATTCACATCATCCGCGAGAGGAAACATAAGGTCCCCCATGGCAGCGGCAGCCTTTGCAGAGAAATAGCATAAAGCTATATATATCTACAACAGTAGTGTCTGGAACGAACTTCCTTGAAGCTGGAAATATTTATTCTACCTATTTAAAGAAAGCAGATTTGTAGATTAAATTTAAAAATTAAAACTTGGAAGGGTTACATACATGAAGGTAATATGCATGAATGAGTTCTGTTGGACTGCACATTCATTTCAGCTGTAATAATCCAACACTCGAAATGATACCTGTGTTTGCAGGAATTACACTTCCAGGCTGTAAAAAGCCTTCAGTAGAGCTAGCTGTGGAAGGTTTGTCTGTCAGAGATTCCTACTTTGTTAGAATTCAACTTAACCTGGATTCTGCCACTTTTGGGATCATCCCCCAAAATGAAAGAACTACCGTGGGCACAAAGGCTTGAGCAGTTTTGAAAGGACTTTGATTGGAAGAACAATAGTTATTACTTGAAATATGATTTATACTGAAATGCTTTTTTTGTATGCTGTTGTCATGAATGTTATAATTTGCTAACCTGAAACCTGTGGTACTTAACATGTGTCCTTTAACTTAAAGCATTGAGCTGTATAATATATGTGTCATACTTTTGAAAATCTAATAGCAAAGATTTTTACTAGCCAAATTTTGAATGCTACATAATTAGAGAGACTTGAACTCAAAAGTTCTCAGTTTTAGTTTTGTGTATTCCCTATTTAGAAAGAGCAGTGTAACAGTTGGAAAAAGTCATTTGTTCACAAGTTAATCTTTGGTTCTACAGTTTCTAGCTGAAGGCAGAAGTATATGTTCTATTTCCAATGAAATGAAACATTGTAAAATGATGTTTTCTACAGTCTCTTAGCAAGTCATCATAGATTATTGAAATTTTTGAAATGGCACTTTGTCATATTTTATTTCTAAGGAACAAAAGAAAATAAGTAGCTTAATCTTATCACAAAGTACCCTTGAATTCAATAGCTAAAATAATACCTAGATTCCCATAATCTTCCTCCATTTGAAGGCAGTATTCATAGAAGAACCTAAGAATGGAATATAAAATAATAATGGCATTCACTTTAAGTTAACATCTATACAATACCTTTGATGTGAAGGAATAAAGAAAAAGTCTAATGTCTTCCTGGAATTTACTATACTAAGTAGTAAGTGATGGAAGCAATAATGGGTTGCAGGTCCGCTTTGAAATTTCCTATTTCTCTTTTCTCAGCTAGGCTTCGAGAACTTAATGCATGCAGTTTTCTGTGCCACTTACAAACTGTCTATTACTAGTAATACAAAATGAGAGCTAGTTTTGAGAGTGCTTGTTATATCTCTGCTTCTTCAGATGAGGGAGAGGGGAGGAACCTGTGTATATGCCTGAGATAACAAATGTTTACTTACATATTTAAATTTTAAATATTTTTCTACTTGGATTAAACATTGTCTTTACTGCATTTGTAAAAACTACAAAAGTAATATCTGGTGGGGTTTTTTTTACATATTGAGAACATTAACTTAATTAAAACATTGTGTTTGATAGTTAAATGTCTGTTTTAATTTTAGCAAGCTGTTCAGGTAGATGGTGTAGTGATCAAGTAATGAGGGACACTGCATCCAAAGTTTCTTTGTTCCTCTAAGAGATGTCAATCTCTCTCCCTTCCCCCACCCACCCAATATTAATTAAAAAGACTACTAGGCTAGAAAGCTGAGTGCACAATATTTGCCATGGTGGTCAGGGCTTTGGATGATGTGCTAGATGGACAGTTTCACTCATCTCCCCTCACTTAGGCTATTCCAGCTTAGTTTACTGCTGTTTTCATCTTTTCAGAGAACTGGAGTGGGGAGATTCAAATTCTGAGAATCAGCCCTGCAACATTTTTGTACAACTTGTGATATAATAAGCAGACTCCTGCCCTACAGCATATTTACTGTATTATTCTAAAATTATTTATCATTGTAAAATTATTTTATTGTTTCATTATTGCATATTTAGAAACATAGCAAGTCAGAAGAGGCCTCCCAGGCCATCTAGTCTGACCCCCAGCTCCAGCCAGTTGCACTTATGATATGCCTACGATATGTATCCTTGAACACCCTCACCAATGGGACTTCAACCACCTCCTGTGGAAGCCCATTCCATACCTTAGGGGTCCTAACTGTCAGGAAGCACTTGCCACTTTCTAACTGTCAGGAAGTACTACATTTAATGAAAGCCAATTGCTTCCAGTGTTTTATTTCACTTTGTCTTCCAATGTATATTATGAAAATCCACTGAATGTCTCAGATTTTAAGTTTCCACTTTAATCCAATTCTGCACACTTTTCTTAACAAACTTGTAGGCCACTCTGGTTTTACTTTTATTTGCTATTTCTGTGCAATCCAACAACCAAGGTTCTGTGCAGTTTAAAGTAAAAATGAAGGTGTCCTTGTTTCTAGATAGTTGTCACCAGGGTAGCTTTGTGAAGGTCCTTGCTCATCCTCTGTCTTGCACTGCAGCTGTTAGTTCTCAGATCTGAGGGAGGACCAAAGAAAAGGAGGATGCTTAATCAGAGCAGCTGCACTAACATGAGTTTCCCTTTGGAGGATGCTCCCCACTCCAGTGTTTGAACACCTGTCTTGACTGTCTGAACCTTAAATTACAGAAACTGTTCTCTGAACTTGCATCCCAGTGCAATTCCTTCCTTACAAAAATACTCTAAATCACAAGAATAAAGTTAGAATGAGGACAAAAACCAGTTCCTGCTGGGATCCGTAAGGCAAGGGCAAACTTGCAAGGGATGAGAGACTGCAGGTGCGGTGGTGTAAGTTTCCTCGACATTGCAGTGCATGGGCAATGAAAGAACCACACTTCCCATGCTGACCATGTCCCCTGTGAGCTGTAAATACATCTGCAATCCTTTTACACCATCCTTCAGCCAGAAAAGGCTACCAAAGTAGCTAAATGAAAGGCCGATGTGATGTTTGGTGTAGCTGGGTCCTAAGTTCAGCCAGCATCAATGTAGCTGGAGAATTATCCAACCATGTTGCTGCTACCGAAGCGTTGCCCAATAAGAACAACTAAAATGGGATTGTCTCTGGTCCTTGGTGGTGAGTTGAAGGTTCTGTGCTTGGGCCACCACTTCCTAATCTTTCAAGACAGGGGTTGTAACTTGTGGCCCTCCAGATATTTTGACCTACAACTCCCATCAACCCTTGCCACAGGTTGCTGGCTAGGGCAGTATGAGTTGCAGACCAAAACCTCTGGAGAACTGCAAGCTTTAAATGAAGAATTCCAGTCAGTTCACTTAGGTGTCCTTGCTCCATTTTCTTCTAGAGGGAAGTTTATTTTGTGGTACATGATGAAATAAACATTTGATTCCTTGGTTTGTACCCCACTTTTTTCTTAGCAAGCCAATGGCATTGAAGACATTTTTCCAACTCTCTGTGCCCAAGAGGTGATAGGTTAACCCACCTGACAAGTCACTGCATTATATCAAAGATGCACATCTTGGAAAAGATGGAAGAGTAGTGCTAAGTCAATCTACACTCACAGGTGATCTATATATCTATGCTTCTGTTCCATTATTCCCCCAGGTTTGAATTTAGATTTTGTGCAGTCTGAAAATGGATGGAAGCCGCACACAGAAAATGCAGAAGGAAGCAGCTTCAATGTAGGTACCCCATAAAAATGAGTGAACAAAGTGTGACTACACCACAATAAACGTCTGTTCTGGAATAGCCTCCACAGGGACTTGACACCTATCAGGAAAACTAGCATAGCAATAATTTTTCCTAACACAGTGTGTGGGTTCCACCCTGCATTGTTTGCCCTTTCCATGTTACAGATTTAATTCCTGTACACTTACATGGTACAAGTCCATTTTGTGTATGTGGGATGCCCTGAAAAGTAACCAGGGACCTAGTTGTTATCTCTGACCTTCAGATAACAATATTTGAACCAACAAACCAAAGGACATTAGAGTTGCAGCCCTGGAAATACTAAGTTTGACTACATTTCCCAGGTTGAGGGGATGCTTTTCTAACAATGACATCTTGAACGGGAAGGTGGACAACTTAGGGTTTTTCAAACAAACAAAAAGTAAAACCTATTTTTCTATAGCATCATCAAAACCGGAAGTTGAATCCATAAGCTATACATATTTTTAGATATTTTTAGGGCCCTCATGCTCAAAACCTTAGTCTGGCAAAGCAGAAAAGCAGCGGAGTGCTTAGGGCAGCTTTTCATACAGCTCCTTTCTGCTGAGTGCAGCCACAAGCCCTAGGAGATTTACTAGCTGGTGACCTGTATTTAAATCAGCATGGAGCATTTTCCACTCCAGGAGCTGGTGAAAGATTAGAGTCATTAGTGGGAAGAAGAGCAGAGCTTGAGCAGTCCAGCTGAATATGGCCTGCATCAGAGAGGAAAGGTGGCAAATCCACAGTGATCCAAGGTATGTGTCAATCTTAACTTTATTTATTAGTTTTTATTTATTTTATTTATTCCTTTAAAAATTTTGTATCCTGCCCATCACAGTGTCTCAGGGCAGCAATAACACAAGTAAATAAGACACGGCATCCTGTCCCATTAGTCGTAAATATAAAACTTTATATATGCTACTGATTATCAGCTACACATCTCGTGCTTCTTTCTAGCACGCCATTTCTCAGCAGATAGCTATGTAGGTGTGCTACTTTTAGGAAGTGATTCCATGAAGAACTGTAATAATCTTTACCTGGTTGTAGCTTAGGGTGATGTGTGACTAATTGCCATAAAGATTCGCCTCCTAGTGTAGCATATTTATGAATACATGGGTTTGATGAGTGTTGCCCTTTCTATCCTATCTTTCTAAACACCAGAGGAGGGTGGCTAATTTCTTGTCACTGTTCAACGGTTATCAGTCTTCAGGAAGGATCACATTGCTATGAATATTAGAAGCACAATACTGCTATAAATTGCTTCTGCTTAAATCAGCAGGATATAAAAATGCTTAACATTCACTAGTTTATATCCTAGGAAAGGCTAAGAAATTAATGTAACACAAATCACATACCACAAACCTAACATCAGTGGATATAATGTCAGTGCTTACTCTGTTATCTTTTTAATAGCTACCCTTACTTGGCAGGTCTGCCCAGGGAGCAGCAGCTGTGAAAAACACATACACCATGTTGAGCATAATTAGGAAAGGGGCTGTACATAAAACTGCCAAAATTTCATTCTTTCTTTATTTAAAGATTTATACACCATAATGCTCTCAAATGGTTTACACTGTATTTCCCTCAAACGAATCTATTTGCACAGCACAGTCATACTTAGAATACTTCTGGTTGCCACATCTGAAAACAGATATTGTACAACTAGAAGAGGAGCAGAAAGGGGCAGCAAAAAGGGGAAGATTCCAACAGCTGAGATCATTTAGCTTAGCAAAATCATGCATGATGTGGAGGAAATGGACAGGCAGACATGTTCCACCATGCCTCTTACTACTAGAACCCAGGGACCTCCCATGGAGCTGATCGGTGGGAAACTCAGGACAGATAAAAAGAAGTTGTCTCTCACCAGCATGTACTTAAGCGAAATTATGAAATTCACTTCCACAAGCTGCATTGATGGCTGCCAGTTTGGGCAGCTAAAGAGGATTGGGCAAATTAATGGCAGAGGGGGCTCGCAATGGCTAGGTTCTTCCTTCAATATCAGAGGCAGAATGCTCGGTGCTGCAGGTGCTGGAGAACATGGGTAGGAAAGGTGTTGCTGCAAGGGATCCTGTGGGCAGCTGCCTGGTGTGCGCAGAATGCCGGGCCAGGGGGACGCTCGGTCTGACCCAGCCAGGCTCTTCCGATGCTCTTAGGATGTCAAAAAGTAGTGAAGTGGAACATTCAGTGCACACAGAATGTTTGCAGTTCAGGCAACAGCATCTCCAGCCAGCCTGAGTGGCAATTTTTGGTTGAAAGCAGGATTACAAATTACATCAATAAATAATCTAAACGATCAGGTTGCAGGGCTAAGAAAGCCTCCCTGAGACTCTGGGAAGTAATTGTTTATTACAGTCAACAATCCTGGGCTACACAGAGATAGCACATTTCTTTGCTAAATTTCTTCCAAAAATATTAGCAGCTTCAGAATTAGTGCAAAGTTATTGGCAGGTTTGTTTGTTTATTCATTTTATTGCATTTCTGTACCATCCAATAGTGGAAACTCTCTGGGCAGTTTACAAGAATAAAATCCATGAAATGCAGCACTGGGGTGTTGTTTGACACCTACGATTGCCTGCCACGAATTTCATCGCCTAGGGAATTTAAATCCCTTCAGTTCTCATTCTGTCAAGGGAAGAAGAACAGCTTCCACAACCAGAGATAAAGGATAGCAGACACCTGTCGAGACCAAACAGTGACCTCAGTGGGAGTTCAGACCATGGCGATTACGTTAAATCAATTATAAATACATCTGGGCACAGGCTGTGCCAAGACAATGCACCGGTAACATCTTGAGAGATGAAAAGTCTCCCCAGGACAGGAAGTGTTGCCCTTCAAAGCCTATTTTTCCTTTTACTATTTAACAGCGCCACCAAATAAATCCACCATTAAAGTGCACATAATCCTTTGCCTCATAATTATAAGAACTGAAATGAAAGAAATTTAACCTTCCTCTAGCAGGATTCTCAGCCACTGCTCTCCAGGGAAGCTTCAGGTTTCCTAGCAGCTAATCACAGATTCTTTACAGTGAGATCTCCAGGAGTGGCAGACATGTTTTCCCATAAGACTGCCTGCAAAGCACCCCAATCTTTCCCAGCATGCACAGCTGCAAGGCAGCATTGGACCAGACTTAGAACACTTTCTGTTCACGTGTGGGTTGGCTTCACCTCGCTTGAAGGTTGTGCACATTTCATGTTTCCCAGAATCCTCTTTCATACCCACGGCAAACATTCAGGGAATCAGGAAAGCAAATTTGAAATTCACCACTCAGCAAGATGGCAAAACAAATGCTTTTTTCCCCCTCTTGCCTATATGAAAAGTGAAATGATAGAGATTTTTTGGCTCCCTAGAAAGAGCCTAACATTTCCTGCTCTGTTTTCTCCCAGTTAAAGTTTCAAAGCTTTAATGAGATGTTTGACAAACTTAGTTACTTGAACATAAGCTTGAGGATAAAAGCCTGAATGCTGTACAATGAGTGACACATTCAAAATCTGTCCAAAGTCAATATTTAAACCTAGAAGCATGATTGGTGGAGGTGTTTTGAGTTGTAAGACCCACAGATCAGCATCCAAAGTGCCATGGCATTTCCCTGAGGACAACGTATCCCTCAAACACCAGAATTCCTCTGGAGCAGCACCTGTCAGGTCTTCCTCTAGCTGCTTGCTGCTGGAAGTTAAACTTGGACGCCACCTGATGCAGCTAGAAGTACTTTGTGTGCACATGGATCTCAGTCCAGGTTTTCATGTGCTTTGTGACTGCCAAAATGAGGTGAGCAGAACATCTCAGAGCAGAGAAGCACGCATCCCCTGCACACCCTGCTGGCCTGCCAGAGGGATGCTCTTTCCCTTTCTGAAAGCCTGCGTCATCTGAAATGCTGTCCATAAGAACTTTAGAAAAGCCCTGCAGGGTCAGGCCAAGAGTCCATCTAATCCATGTGCACATGGTGGCAAACCAGCCGCCCACAGGGTCCCTCCAGCAGGATGGGTGCCAGACCTCCTCCTGCCTAAGCTCCTCAGCAACTGGTGGGTGCAGACAGGCCGCTTCTGGGCAAGGAGGCAGCACATAGTTAGCAAGCCTCGTAGCCACTGGTAGCCTCCTCCCTCATGAATCTGCCCAATCCCGTTTTAAAGCCATCCAGATTGGCAGCCATCACCAATTCACATGGCATGAATTCCATAGTTTAATCATATGCTGTATGAAGAAGCCCTTCCTTTTATCTGTCTTAAACTGCCCACCAATCAGCTTCATGGGATGACCCCTAAATTGAGTGTTACACGAGAGGAATTAAAATGCCTCCCTTTGTACATTCTCCCCATCAGGCATTGTTTTAAATGCCTCTCTCATGTCTCCTCTTACTCCCCTTTTTTCTAGGACGAACAGACCCAATTGTTGTAGCTGCTCCTCACGGAGGAGCTGCTGCAGCCCCCCAGTCATTTTGGTTGTCTAGCCTGGAACCCAGTGTAAGGACAAGGAAGGGAGAAGAGGAGCAAGAACCCATCCATTATTTGTCCTTAGGCAACAGGCCTAGCACAGGCCACCTGGTCACAGGGAAAGATGCTTTGTATTTCAAGTCTTCTTACATTTGCAGCTCCACTTATAAATTGAAGTACATCCATCTTATGCAGATTGGTCTCTTCTCTTGTCCTCTCTTTGTGGTGACACCTATCCTCTTCTTTGGCAGGCTGACGCCGCTCTGG